AGAGAGAGAGAGAGAGTGGCACTCCGCAATATCCCGGTTGGGAATTAGGGCAGATGATCTGTGAAACTCAGCTATGAAGTGTAAAGTCATCCTCTACAAGATGAACTGTGAAACTAAGCTGTGAAGTCATCACCTATGATAACAGAATTACTGTTAGTTTAACTTTATATTGATTGCTGAGTTTATCAAAACTCCAAATCCCAATGCGATATACGCAACATTCCGGTTGGAAATTAGAGCAGATAATCTGTGGAACTAAGCTATGAACTGCGAATTCATCACCTCTGATAACAGAAAGTCTGTTATTTTATCTGCATATTGAATGCCGAAATTTTCAAACTTCCAAACCGAATGCAACATCCGCATCATTCCTTTTCGGAATTCGGTCAAATGAGCTGTGAAATGAAGATATGAACTGCAATATCATCACCTACGACAACAGAATTTCTGTTATTTTATCTTTTTATTGTTTTTAAAACTTCAAACCCAATGCCTACGCAAAAAAGGAATTTTCTCTTTAAAGCACTTTTTTCTTGTGAATCTCCTGGAGATTCTTCAGTTTTTTATTTTCATTTTACATAAATTGCTTACATGTTGGCGTTAAAATTCTCAAAATATGATGTGAATAATTTTGCACACATTTTGTTTTTCAACTTCTCTAGAATCGCAAACTTATGAAATATTCAATACTACTAGGGTTATTTTCTCAATTTGAAATGATGACTAGAAACAACACAAAGTACAGAATAATTTTTAATAAATGAGGATTACTCCCTTCTTTATAACAGAAAAAGAAATGTTCAAAAATAATGTTTTAGTACACCTCTTAATGTATTGAAGTATTAGATTTTCCTTCTAAAACACGGAAGTTTTGGGAATGTCAGCGGACGTTACGAAGCTTATCACTTTATCTCAACGACTTTTCCTCCTCCACAAAATACCATACGACGTTTCTGTTGGACAACATGACTTTTACGATCCTTAGCTGCGGTTTTGTGTGGCTCTTGAATTATGAAAGACTTGTCTCCATGCATGCTTTTGGTACGTCGTGGAGGGAGCTGAAGATATTTCGAAACTTGGTTCTATTTGCTGAGAAATGATAAATTGCATACCAGAGAAAATATAAGAAAATGGAATGAATGGAACGGAAGACTATGCTCAATGAGGTAGATCAGGTTAAACGATGAGAGGCTCGATGTGAAAGCCTTGTACGCTGCATTTATATATTCTTTGTGCTGGTCAGTTGGGCCTTGGCTGAGATTGCTTTGCCACCCACGCATTCGCGATGCATGATCTTTTGCAAGCAATCTAAAGCGAATGTTAAATTTAAGTCCTGTTCTTTATTTCTCAGTCCAATAGCTACACTGTCTAGATACTTTTATGGGGTGGCATTTTCAAGCTGGACATCCTAAATGCCTGACAGAAGGATTCACCTAGCAAGACATTTATTCCTTCTGAGTAGGCGGCTGAGATTACGTGCGAAAAAGCAGCTGCTTTTCCGAGTCACTAGGAAATCACGTTCGGCGTAATCACAAGTCTCTCAAACATCAAGCACAAAGAAGTTTGGTTTAACATATAGACTGATCATTAACATTAGATCCCATTAGAATGCTGCATCGGGAGCAAAGATCATCGCGGCCACAGCAGCCGGCAGGAGCAACGTTCCAGGTGGGCAGCAGGAAGGGATGGAAAAGATTGTACATGAGCCTTTCACCAGAAGACATATTTTGTAATTGAAGGAAGTTAGCTACAAAATGCGGGAATGCAAAAATGCATTCCTGAAGTGAGGTCGGTCAGAGCGTATAATGAATTTCGACTCTTTGATAATAGTACGAATGAAGGAAAATGTCCCTGCCTGGGGAAACTTGACTTGAGAAATAAGCGAATATCGGACAAAAAAGACACACAATCTAGAAAGGCATTGAAGATAGAGCCAAAATATTTAATTTAATAGGCACAAGGCAATGGAGCTAAAGATAGCCACTAAAATTACAGCGCGTTGTGGGTTCGATGATTGATTGTGTTTGTGAACTCGTCAACTGCTGTGTTCATTAGTCACGTTAGTGTAAAGATCGCTTTATCTCGGGAGGTAGTGGTGTGAGATTCGGTGCCGACCAACACGTCGGCTGACTGGGATTTCGCCCTCTAGGAGTCTCCCGCAGAACCCCGACACAGCCAGGGCAAGATCTTAACTCCCGAGCAGTCTCTCGATATGTGCTGTGTAGTGCATGTAAGTGTGTGTGGGTGTAAACAAGGGGAAAACGATGTGACAAGGAAGTGAAGGAAAGATCTCGCGCAGTCTATGGCCTGTTTGTGAGAGTGTTCATCCAACATTCGGCCGGTATTGACCGGAGAAACCAAGGAAAAATACCGGTTGGGGTAGCCGGTCGCTGGAATTCTCTCAAGACAGGAACGGAATTCGACCTAGCTGTACGGCTAATGTCGAGAATCCGCCATCGTCGGGAATCGAACTTTAGGACCTCCCAGACAGAATCGCTGCAGAGTCAGCGGCAATGCTGACTCTGAGCTGAACTCAGCCGGGGCGGGTCTGTCGCTTTGACCTCTGAATTTGATGTTGCGCCGCGGCAGATACCATCGAAATTTTTTCATAGCCCACCTGCACCGTAGCCGCCGCCAAAGGCAACCCTCTCACGAACTAGGATGACTAGGTCGTTCCTCATCTGCACAATAAAACAATTAATTTGTCTCAGAATTACCTTTGGGAAATGTACTTCCAAGAAAAACTGTTCTTCGGCGAGATTTGAGATGTGAGCGTGCTATTAACTTCTACACCCTGAGAGACCAGTTAGGAGAATAGAACGAGGAAAAAATTAAGGAAAATGGAAACATAATTCCCCGTGCGTCTCCTCAGTTTCTGTGGTTACGATAAAGTACTGACATACCCTCTTCTTGCCAGAATCGGGTATCTTTGGGAAATGCATTTCCACGAAAAACTGTTTTCCGGCAAGATTTAAGGTGTGAGAGTGCTATTAATTGGTATAGGCTAGTTATGAGAATATAATGAAGAAACAAAGGGAAATGGAAACATCTCGCATTTCTTGCTTGTTCTACTTTTTTGTTTTTCACACACGTTTTGTTTAATCTGCTTTCTTGGCTTTGATTGTTCTGGGCAATATTCGTTTCTGCGATGTTGACAGTTCTCCGTGTGACTGTGAATTTTCTATCATTGCGACGATGTTTTGGTGTACCTTCCTCTCGCCAAGATACGTTTTTGCTTCCGTTTCTTTCACAGACATGTTTTTTATGTATTTCTATATGCTCAACCTAGAAATCCTATAAAGGTGTAAAAATATACAGATGTCTCAAGAAAACACACCTAAGTGGATTACATATTCTAATGTTGAACACTCATATTTAGTTTTGTAGAGAATAAAAAATATTCGTTTAGTAATATTAAAGTTTGGAGAGAGTATTTGGGTGAAGAAAAATGCTCGGAAGTGAAAAGAAATTGAATGAAAGGAATTTAAAAATATCTTTCGGAATCGAGATTTAATTCTATTGGAGATATTCGAATTTTGGTCAAGATGGAACAGCATGGACACGACAGTAAGAGAGAAAAAGTACTTTGTAATATTAAAAATTTGAAGTTCATGGTGCATTTGATTCTTTGGTATGAACCAGGGTACATGAAAAAGACTGCGAAACATTTTTCTTAAGATAAATTGTGTGGATGTTCATATGATATGTCTATCTCATCTTACGTTATTTATTGTACATCTTTAATATTTTTAACCACGAAAAGGAGAGTTGGTCGAATGGTTCAGGGAGAGAAAGAGTGTTTTATAGGCCTTAAGTTGTTGCCAGGCGTGTATTATAGAATTCATTTTCATTTTGAGAAATTTTCTTAACTTTGGAATGACTCTATTGAAAGATTGATGTCCGTGAAACGAAGAAAATGGAAATATTGGATCTTCACTTACATTGTTCATCAGATATTTTGTGTCCATTGCCTTGTCATTGAAGAATTTATTACATTTTTCTTATGAAATAAAATTTCTTATGTAAGTTATTGTTCGAAATCGCTGTAATTTGATTCCGTAAATTGATTTGTTGCCTAATATCTAGCTTTGTAAGTCAAAATATGACTTGCATTCATCTGTTTTTTGTATTCTGAAGAATATTAATAAACAATGATTCCAATGTTCTAAATACTCTTTGAAAATAATATATTATTATATCATATTTAAGGTATTTTGAGACAAGTTCATTCATAACAATAAGTTATGTGCTGAGATTTAAGCACCCTTAATTTACATTAATTAAGAGGCGGTCTAAGACATATGTGACTATGAACAGTATGCTAAAACTTCTTAATTTGAAAACAACTTTATAAACATGTATTACAAGTATCTATGTTGTTGTAACGCCACTAATTTTATTTAAAAGCTGCACTCTTATATCTTTTACATTTCTTTAATTTTTCACCCAGGCGTTTTTTACCTTTTTACAATTTTTATCACCTGATCATCATCTTACTTACATTTCTTTAGTTACTTTATCTTATATATTTCCATATCTCGTGCGTTGTTTTCAATTCATTTGTTCTGGGTTTTTCTTGTCACTTGATTTTAGGTTTAAGCTTCTTAATGAAATGTATTTTGATATCCGTACATAATTTCCCGACATTTTTTCTTTCGTTTACTAAATATTTTAGTATCAGTTTCTCGTGCCTTTCGCTTCCTTTTATCAATGTTTTGTATGCTAATTTTTATTTGCTATTAATTTTTATCTATAGTCTAGTAGAAAGCGTACACTTATCAGGATGAATACACAGTTTACAAAGCCTTCTTTACAATGAATGTGAAAAGAAAAAATGTGCCGTGTGAAAGGGCTCATAGAAAGAAAATGCATGTAAGATATTACTACCGATTTTTTTTTAATATTGAAAAAATTAATTTGTTACATTTATAAAAACCTAGTAGTTCCCAATAAATTACTAAAATTATATTTTCTATTCTAAAATTCTATTTATTTTGCAGCTCTGGCCGAATCCAACCTATCCTGCTACCAGTGTGTGAGGCATGCCAACGAAGAATGTGGAGAAGAAGACCTACAACTCTGCCCCAGCAACAAGGACAGATGTGTCACCCACATCTCCAAAGATGGTATAGTATTAAACTTCTTCAGGTTACTCTTAAGTGTCTTTGTACTCGCACGTTCATTTGTCAGGTCATTGCTTAATTTTGCTAATGCAATGCTTCCTAGCGTATTAAGTCTTATATAATTTGTAATAAATATTTAAACAATGTGGCTTAAATAATTATTACTTAATTACCATGGATAGAGAATGTTTACAATAAATTAATAATGTAATAAAAAATTGATGTCACTTTTAAATAAGTAAACAAAATTTCAAAGTTTAAAAGAGGTCATTTTTTTAATAATTGACTGTAAGAACATGCCGCAGGTATCACTTAATGCCAAGAAGGGAGTGCAAATTGCATAATTGGTATTCCTATAACAATGTGACAATCTTCAGGGATTCCCAGGTATACTTCCTGAGAATCGACTGAAATGTAACTGTCCGTATACTGGATGGAATTTCCAAAAGAAAGGATATTATCAAATATTCCTGTATCCTCTTCTCCACCACAAACGAATTCTAACGTAAGGAATTTATAACGTAAGGTATTTCTAACGTTTGTTGTTTGTCCCATTAAAGCAGAGCTAGAAAAAAGGCTCGGACCCTCCAATTAATTGTTAAACACTGACGTGTAATATTTAAAATATTATCTTACTTTCGCCTCGATCTGTGTACGAAGCTAAACTTCTCAGCGGCTTCGGGCCAGGAATAAACAAAACCATTGAGTTAAAGTGGTGAATACATTTCATTCTTTCCGGTCGCCCAGATCATTAGATCTGAACGTCTTTGATTATTTCATTATCCAGAAAGGTACAAGTACAAAGCTTTCTCTTCTTTTCTTTTACATTTTGTGATATTTCGATTTAATTAAAGCCATTCTTTTGCGTTGCCTAGGACAAGAGAAGGGGGAAGAGAAGGGTATCTGTTCTGGGTCCTTTTCCATTAAACTTTTGCTTTTAATAATGACATATTATACTAGTAAATGAATAAAATATACTACAAGGATAATTGAATAACTTTAATGACACTCTTAATAAAAACATTTCATTTTATTTTCAACCATTAACAGGATTGCAAAATGACTTGCAGAGCCTTTTCTCCAAATGTCGTAAAACAATCCCACAAATTATCAAGTTAATAAAGGGAAAATTAGGGACTGAACATATTTATGATAATAAAATTATTTTATTACATGAGTTTACGGGACTTCTTTCAAAACTTACTGGGCCACATTAGCCCCGTCCTTCCTTCTGTGCCCACGCCTATGTTTAAAACCGTTAAAGGTGATACAATACGGTTATTTCATGCTATGACTCGAAACCCTGTTAGTTTTGAATAACGAATGGTGGTAAACGGAACAGATTGATAGTCAATGCGTTTTCTGTTCTGCTATGTTGATGTCTCTTAAATTCGTTCTTCTTCTATCACACATATTTTCTCCGCTAGAACAACAGTGTTTTTATACCTGATCGTGCGTGTTCTAGACCGTCTATATTAACGTACATGATACTCATCACCGAATGTCCCTTATTGTATCATACTCATATACACGTGCTGAAAGCTACTCTAAGAAACTTAAAATGGTAAAAATTTTAAACGCTCTGAAAAATTGTAAAAATTGTAAAAATTTTTGCATTTTATATCAAATTAGAGAGGGGGGAGATCGCAAAATATTGACTCTTACACATAATGTCCTCCTTAAGGTACACTGTAATCAATTTCTATTAAAATTTCACTGTTACTTTTCGTTATTAGGTAGTTTTACATTCGCAGGCTTTAAAATTGCCTCGCTGCACATTGATTAGTGAATATTTCGATTATTTGTTTGATTGTGAATCCCTGCACGATGTACCTTTCCTAAATCCCGATGCCCTTGAAGGAGAAAATTATTCTTTATTTTCCGAAGTCTTCGATAAGGATGAGTTGGGAAATAATTTTGAATCCTTCATTAAGTAAACTTATTCCTTTAAATTAGAACTTTCTTTCAGCTTCCTTTTTTGAAAATTCGAACAATAGCGTTCGTCCAAGTACAAGGTATTGGTTTTTGTAACCAGCATTCAATAGTTCTATGTCTTTTCACTTCAAAAAACGCCATTTGGCATCAAAATGGATGTTCTCAAGCATTCCTAGATTGACATAAAACTTCCAGGACGCTCCCAGCCATCGGCGCAGAGATTCTGCAAGCCCAAGTCTACCTGCAAGTATCAACTTTTTCCGTGCCAGACACGTCTATCGTATTGTCTTGCCATTGATCTTTAAAATATGTGATCCATTCTTCTCACGAAATTATCTCTATCTGCATCATTTTGTGGGATATATTTAAATATTTCAGGGTTTAAATGTCAATGTTTGTTTGCCAAGAACTCATTCTCTGTTTGCAAAATATATGTCCCAGCTTCTCCTCTTAGCATTTCGCACCAATTTTTTTTTCTGAATCCCTTTTTTTATAGTTTCGTAAATATTAATGTCTTGATACGACTCTTTTTTTAAGTCGAATATCTTATTGTAATTCATCTGTTTATATGTGGACACTCTTTCTCTTTGTTGATTCATTTCTTACTTCAAAACATTATTGTACAGGCTTTTCAGATATTTTTGAAGGGTTCTCACTCATATGCAAAACTTGTTGTTGGTTATTGTTGTTTTTGGGAGGGGGCTCATTCACGTACTGAAAAAACCGCTTTTGATGAAATTGCCTAATTGGTGGTCCACGTAGCAGATAAACTTTCCATACATTTTCAGCTTTGTTTTTTATATACGTAATTACTTTCAGACCGTCTGGTTCCAGATTTCTTTTTGCTTTCACAAAATAATGATATAATACTAATTTAGGGCTTTTAAACTCACATCATCAAGCAGCTTCCATATTATATCATTTGTGATGAAATAATCAATTATTTCTCTTACCACGTTTGTATTTTACAGCACAAAATGGCCTCGTTCTGAAGCGGGAGTGCGGACTGGGCCCATGCTCATTTGAAGACAACATGATGAGCCGTGGCTTAGGTCTGGAAGGCTGTGACAGAAGCAAAGAAGAATATTTTTGTTTATTTTGTTGTCAGTACAATGGCTGCAATAAAGACTCCAGTGTCAGCATTGTCCCATCCACATTCCTGGTTACTTTTGCCACTCTTTTTACAGGAATTATGGCAATTCTTGTGCACAATTCCTTTCTTCCAAGAATTTAAGAGGACTACGCGTCCCGGAGAAGCTGTGTTAATTCAAATGAGATTATTCAAAAGCTTCCATTCTAATAGTCGGAAGATGTGGCCAAATATTATTGTGCTCAAGAAAACGGAAAAACTAAGTTATATCTAGTTGAAAATGTACATGCCAGAGAGAATGGTTTCACAGATCCATTTTTGCATCTCATCTTTCGTAGATACATTACCTGTATGATTCACTAGATTGGTGAATTGTAAAGCAGAATGAATTTTACACTTATAGGAATCATATAAGAAAAGTAAGAAAACGTTTTTCAAATTATCTTCAGGAACTATTAGAAATGTTTCATTTCATGGGTGTGTTATACATTCTCTATAAGCAACACAAGAGCAACATTCATCACAGAATTTAGCACTACCAATAAAATTAATTAACGTTCTTAAAATTCAAACTAATATTCAACACAGAAGTATGCTAATTTTCTATATTTATCATTTTGGAAAAATAAAATCTTCCTGTGATGAAATCCTGAATGTATTTAATATAATATTCTCAGGAAAGTTATCCATTACTTAACTCTTATTTACTATAAATACACACAATCCCCAGATTTTCCTCCAAATTTCAACACACTTTCACTTGATGTAAATATGAGTACTATCCTCAAATTATCTACAGATGTATTCAAATTGTGAAACATTTGAGATAAATCTAATTAGGCAATAATTTTAAGTTGCCTTTCAAGTGACTGGTTAGTTGGGATGTATTCTTAGAGAGCTTTTGTTAGAGTATGAGACCTGTATTTCAATTAATTCATTTTTATCACATTTTTCTATCGCCAATTTCTTTGTGTATTATACAGAAGTTACCTACTTTTACATGTGATTTTAAATTACTTCAATTAGACAAATTGTGAAGAAACTTTAGATCAATGATAGATGATGCAATGTACTTTTGCTTCCAAGTTAGTAATTGGAAGTAGTTCAACTATGAAATTGTCATTGCAACATAGTTTGTAAATAATGCTTCATATTGAATAATTCATGCTTCAAAACTGTCATTTTCTACCTTGTAAATATTTCATCTTCATGGAGTCATTCTCTAATATCTAAAAATCACATCAGCAATAATATGACATAAAATTTCTTTTGAAAAACATCTTATTAACAAATATTTGTAATAAATGTTTTAAATTGCTGTTCTTATAGTGTTACTTTGTGCTTTTCCAGATCTGTGTGGGAAGAGATAGAGATCTCTAACACTGTCTAGAAATCTGTAATTCATAATATTTTTCTAAATTTTCATCAAATGGAGTGTTCTTGTAATAAAAAATTTGCATTTGTACTCCATACATATGTGATTCAATTCATATCTTAAACAATCTTTTAACAAAAGTACTGCTCTTCCTTCAACACAGATATCAAGATATTCGTTGTAACAAATATGCTTTTAAGTGTTCATAATAAAAGAGTTTTTTAAGGACTTGTCCACATTGTTTTCATATCTTTCATATTCCAATGTTTTCTTTCCTTATTTTTCCCTAACGTGTTTGGTATCGGTACTCAGTAACCACTTCGAGTGAGTTATTTCTCAGCAGCCGATAATAGACGAAAGTTAAAGTTAAAATGAAGAGCGTCGTTGGGCTCTCCCAGATCACGAGGTAGTCATGGGAGATCGGCGTCGTTGTACATCGATTAAATATTTAATATATTTATGAATTAGTACATATGTTGGCGGAAAAATATTATACGAAATATGTGGTAATAAATACTTTTTGGCCGTTTAATTGTTAAATCAATTAAACACCCTTCAAAAAGAAAAAATAGAAAACACTCATTATATGCTTCGCAAACAATATGTGTATGTAAATGTTTTGTGACTAACATTTCTTTTTTTTGTATTTATTTCTTCTCGTTCGACCTAAAGTCTTTCGAGGTTTCAGTTTTACATGCTGACTTGTTTTGGGATTTAGGCAATCCTTGACAAATTGAGGTTAAATTCTTTGGCTCATTTGGTTCATTTTTTTTTTCTTCTGGAAGCTGTTGAAATTTAATCTTGATTTTTTTTGGGGGGGGGGATAAACTGTTCTGATTGCCCTGTCGAGCAATAGGAAGGGAAACGTGAAAGATTCTACAGAGATACGGGATGATATTATTAGTTTAGGGAGGTTTAAGCATATCTTTGAGATATTTAGATTTGATTCGACTTGGGATGTTTGCTGTTCGGCCTAGGTGGAATTCCAGAGCGGGATGAAATGAGGGAAGGGAAGAACAGAAATTATTTGCTACTCTTTTTATATGTTCTATCACGGTTTCCATTTGGAGTTCTATCTAAATTTGATGGTTAGGTATAAATCATGGAGCTTTAATTGACTAACATTTCTAAAATGTAATCTTCTCTCTTTTATCGAAAAGAAGTGCGAAATACATCAAACCTGGGCCAGTTTTAATGTGAATACTCAAATTGTAATGCCAAATTCAACACATTATGCAAACAACAATATTAATTTCTGTCGAAAAGATATTCCTTACACAGATTTCCTCGATATTTCGTCTCTGTAAAGTTGCTGCAGCACATTCACATGTGAATTCATGTGATATTCAAAGACGACGTGTTTCATCACAACAGGGAAAAGGTTACCTACTATATGAAGGCGTGTTTGAAGAATTTTTGTTAGGGGGCAAAAAATTATATGTTCCAATTTAAAGCTTCTTCGTTTTTGTATGAAAATTTGTACTTGTGTATCTCTTTTCCCCCCTACGTCACATACAGTTTTTACTGTTTTTTTTTTTACTGAATAAACCTAAAATCTACATGTTTCTAAATGTTGAAGTTTGTTCGAGTAACGACGCCCCTCACCCCGGTTGAAGCTTGGAAAGGACGTTCTCTCCACACCCATCCCACGACCACTTTCGCACTTTTCATGCGTATTTTTTTTATTTATGTAAACATAATTTGAGACTATTTCCAGACGTCTGACAGACATATAATACTGATTTTCAGAATTGAGGGTATATTGTATATGTACATAACCACAATTCCATATATATATATATATATATATATATATATATATATATATATATATATATATATATATATATATTGAGGGTATATACCTAAAGCAGGTTTATCCAAGTTTTAGCCATGTAAATACGCTCCTGTTTTAACACAATTCAGAAACCCGAATAAATGAAAATAAAAGTTGATGTAAACCTTTTCTAACTAGAAGTTATAATATTTTCGAAAAGAAAAAAGGAGTTGAGGATATTTGAGGAAGGAAAATTAAAACACGCTAGAGAATCGAATCACTAGTCATTCATTTGTGATATTTAAAAACGAAGTGTTCCATTTATACCATTAAGAGTTCTTTTTTCTCAGTCAGAAAATTTGTAAATTATAGTTTTTGGAAGTCATTTTGCAATGAAGCCGTGAAAAAAGTACCGGGTCCCGAGATGGGTCAAGGATTACCATGGACTAATACGTATAACACAGAGCAACAAATGTTCCATAACGTACCAATTTTTCTGGAAAAGATACGTTTCATTTACCACTTTCGAGAAAAAAGAAACGACTCAATAACAATAAAGGAGGAATCTGTAGTGTATTAATCTACAGGTCGAGTAACAAATATTATTTATATTACAAACAGTTTTTATTAAATTATTTGAACTATAATTAATTGTTTGTTTTACAAAACAAATTAAAAGAAAAGAGAAAGCTTCATAAAACTTTAAATGCTATTACACAAATTACAAGTTAGAAACTTTCCGTTTGTGGGTGGATGATAATACTTCTTGTAGGAGTGTCCAGCAGTAATCTGCCAAAAAGTTTGCTAACCATCTTCCCTTATCTCATCTTTCCATGGCAGCGATATCTCTGTAAAATTGCTCACAATGTTTGTCACTCACATCTCTAAAATTATGTGAAAAGAAATCGAAATGAGAACCGAAGGAACCCCATAGCCTTGTAACAGTCAAGCATATGTTCCGTCAGTTCCCTGTATTTCTCACACATTTCGTTTCTCAAGAAATTGTCGTATATATCTTTTCATGCAAGCCAATCTGCCTTTTCTGTGCCTGTCAGCAACTGTTCGAAGGTAATATGTTACATCAAGTCCGGCCCAATGAAATTTTCTTCTTGACTTTTTGCAGTACTAATTGCAGGAAATAGATAGTAAAAATTAAAAACACTGGCAATCTTTGTCCCTTTCTCTCACAAAATTGTTCTTAAAATACAATTTCAGATGGAGTGGTGGTAACAGTGCACTGTCTTTGTCAACAAGGGATTCATGAGGACCTTCTTTTTCACGGGTAATGAAAATATCTCTCAAAGGCCACTCTTTGACCGCGTAATGTTATTTCCTTGCCCTTCTATGACACAAGAAATAGCAATATTTTGTGTAACCACTCTGCATTCTCAGAAAATGTCCCAAGACATCACAGATTTTCCATTTGTGATTCGAATAATCAGTACAATGCACGAGCAGCCTCATGTTTTTTTTAACGCAACGCGTCTCTTTAAAACATGTTGGGCGTTGAGCGCTTTGCCTGGAGTAATTCTCCGTTACTGATAAATTACTCTATTTGTCTAGTCTCGTCACATCGCAGTCAGTCGGTGTCTTTTATCCCTTCGGCCAGGGAGTCGAAGGCCGTTAGATCCCGGTTCCTAGTCGGTCACCCAAACGGGAACCTGCGACTCTCGAATTCGCTTAACCTCCGGCACTTCACGGTAAAGTAAAGGAATTCGGCTAGCGACGCATCCTCGTTCCTTTAACTGAACGGGAAAGGCCCCTGGTATTGAAGATTTCTCGATTCCGTTGGGTAAGAGAAGGGCTTTGAGACTACTCTTCGATTAATCTATTAATAGGCGCCATTCTTCTCGATTTAAATTATTCCCAAATTTTGTCAGCAG